TTAACATTGTCCACATGGCATCCTTAGATTTGCATATCTTAAAAGAATATCAAAATATGAGCAATAAAATTGTGGAAATTGGCAGTCCTGGGGTTAATTTGACCTCTTTAGTCATATCTTGGTCAGCAAAAGAGATGTCTAAGAAATAGTGATCTTTGTGATTATGCACCTTTGGGAAGCTTACCTACATGCCCTCAGATTCCTTCTCTAAATTATTTCCAACATTCTCAAACCCTGGCAGATTCAAACACCTGATAAACAAAGGAAAAACTGCTAGAAAAAGATTCCTCCTCCACCTCATCAAAATAAGTCTTCTCTGTGCCCATGTTTCAGTCTGAACCAATGGTATGTTGCAATCCACCAGAAAGTCATTACTGATAAGAACACGGGGCACACCATAAAAACCTGTCTCAGGTTGTGTTGGGTTGTTGGGGTTTTTTGCTGTTGTTGTTTGGTTAGTTTTGGTTTTGGTGTGGGTTTTTTTTTTCCCAAAAAAAAACTAAGGCAGGAACAGCATTTGCTTTTAGTATTGAAGTCCATGCTGACTTGATAGGTGGAGAATAATATCAAACACTATATAGCTACAATGGAGGAGCTGGGTAGAGTATTTTTCTCATCAACAGTCTAGTATCAGTAAACACAGTCTGAATGGAACCAAAGCACTAAGCAAAACTTCTAACAGTGCTGGAAGCAGGTGGCAGACTGGGAGTGTTTTGTAGGAATCACTTATGGGTTTATCCAAATCAGCTCTTAAAAGTTCTCATGAAGAACAAGAGACTAGTATTTGTCTGAAAGAAAATTTTCACCGATCCAAAATAAGATTTCTTTTAATTAGAAAATTCTAAAATTCATGGGTTTTTGAGATTTAGATAATTTTTTTAATCAAAATGTGAAATCCTGTATTCAAATTGGGTTTGCTATCCAGCAAAACTGTAAATTCTAAATATAAGAAAATAAAAAGGTGGTTTTCTTTGGAATGGGTTTCATGAGAAATAATCTCAATAGCAAGAATAGGTGTTGTAATAGGGTTTTTTTCCCAAGGCATAAGCTCTTGCTAGGACTTAAAAATAAGACTGAAATTTATTTTAAAAAAAAGGAATGAACTGATAAAATTTCCCACTTCTTTGACCTTGTAAACTTCATATCAAAATGCACAACACAGCAGGATGTCTGCCTAGCAGCAGCATCTATGTACATCCTCTTTATTTCCTTTACTGGCTCAAACCTAGTTCTTCACATTAATTACTGATCATTTACTGAATGGAAAGCATGCATTTTTAATTATGTTAGTGGAAATGTTGGCTGGTTGTGAAACAAAGTGCTTGGAATTGGTCCATTTGAACCACGTGAATCAGCAGTACTGTTTTACAGTTCTTGCAGTTTTTCACTTCAGCATTTCAGACTGTGATCCTTGTGAGGAAAAAAAAACCTGATAAAGATAAAAGGCTCCATCTAGCGGGCAAGAATTTTCTATTTAAAGAAAAAAAAAATGCTCTCATTTTCACTTAATTTTATGCTTGAAGAAATACAGGTTTAGATTTTGTTTCATTAAGCTGCCATGTTGTTGTTAATTCTTGCCTTCTACAGAGCCATTATTTCATATGCAAAGCTGTAAAACATTAAGTATTATTCTGACTCTTGAGCAAGAAGCAATAAACGATACTAAATGAGTGGGTTTATACAGCAGTTGATCCACGAAGGTCTTCCTCCCCACTCCCTTCAACCTTCAATATATAATAACCAAAAATGGGTAATCTGTGTGTCAATAATTATTTTAAACTATTTATGGTTCTTTCCTACTTAAAACTGACTGGCAGCATTCATAACTTGACCACAGCACTCAACACTCTTTTGGGAGTATTTTTTACACGGGGAACTCTCCCCATGTGTTACCTCATCATTAATTGACTTGTTTACCCCAGTGGCCTGTGCTGTGTCTTCCAAAGGCCAACACCAGAGCTCATTCATCCTGGCATTTGTCTTGAAGCCTCCCTAGTGCCGCTGTGCATCCAGAAGCACCCTGACAGGATTGAGCACTTTGTTTTGGGTACGCAACTGATCTGATACAGTGGTGCTTTCCTTTTGCTCTCTTTGCTGAATTTCTGCACTGCATTGCAGTTATGCTCCCAGCTCTGAGAAATTCAAATGGCAAGGCTCTTCCATTTGCAGTAGTACTGAAACTCGGGTGTTGCTCTCATTCCAGCAGAGCTAGCAGCTGAAACCTTCTCTTCAGTTCATTTCATTTCAAGCTAATAACAAGCGTAGGAGGAGGAATAAGAAGCAGCAAGCACGGATTTGGCAGAAGAGATACCGAACCACGTCCTGGCTTTTGTCAGACTGTCCCTTATTATAAAGCCATACAGCCTGGCAAGACCTGTTCCTCCTGTGCAGCTTCCAGCACCAGGCAGACAGTGTAACGTGCATTGTAATAATGCCTCCACCCTAGTGTACTACAGCCTGTGTTCACATCCAGCATGGCAAGATGTGTCTCCTGCACAAATCACAAAATAGAGCTTACTGAGCTGCTCTGCACACCTTTCGATCACTGGGAGATCTCAGTTTGCAGTGGGTCACTCAATAGCAAACCCAGAGGAATTTTCCTTCGGTATTAATGCACAATTTGGCAATTCTGTTAGGCCACGGAGACTTGCTGATCTTCCTGAATAATTCTCCCCAGCTGCAGCTCTCCATGGAAATCTGTGCTGCCAGTGAGTAAGAGCTGTCATTTGGCCTGTTTTACAGGCTAAAGCAAAGGATAGTCTTAATTAAGAGTTCTTACTCTGAACCTTTCTGTAAGCAAGGACTAAGGCAGAACTGATGAGTACCTTTGTGGAAGTTGGTATGTTTGCAAAATGCAAGCAATGCTGTCTCAAAAAGGGAAGAAACAAAAGACAAAAACTGCATGTTTTGGTACTGTTAAGAGTAATGCCACGTGGTTTCTAATGTACACAGACACCTACCTCACTAGGCATGCAATAGAAGAAAACATGCAAGTCACTTGATTCCAAGTTCTTAAATAACACCCCTTTTAACTGCTGGCCTTTGCTCTAGAACTGTTCATGCTTTAGAAGATTATTGGTTTGCTGCTGAGCTAAAGCAAATCCCAGATTTGGAACTACAGTAAGATCCTCTGCCTTGTCTTACTTTAAATACCTTTTCTACAAGTGGTACTTGAGCTGATGCTAATGAAGTAAAAATTTCCAGATGTGAAACTCTGGGGAATATCTGACATACTGCTTTTGTAATAATCTGCTATAAAATCAAACTGTTAATTTGGGGAATAAGTATTAATTTATTCCCACTACAGGTCATCAAAAAGCCTCACAGAAACCTTCTAATTAACCTTTAACAAAGATATTTCATATTATGTTTATCTGGGTTAAATTTATTCGGCTGTTTTTTCGTTCTTTGTGGGAGCAGCCATCTTTTGAAACAAATGCACTGATATGCATTTATTGTTGTAGAGTAACACTAAGTCTTTTCTTTTTCACAGGTAACCAGGTGCTGAAGTTTGGAACACTCGTCAGTACTTCCAACACCTATGATGGCTCTGGGATTGTGACTATCGAGACTGACAAACCTTTGCTGTGGACAATGGCTATCAAAAGATAAGATCAGCTACAGCTGCCTCTTCTGATCCAACACAACTCCAATTACTGCAAAATTTCACTGAATTAAGACAGTAAAGCTGTTCCAAAAAATATGAGCAGACACTGATTTTATGTATCGAATGGAAAACAAGTCTGAAATAACAGTTACTTGAGATCCAATCGAAATTACTTGCAATAGAGTACTTCATTCTGGCACCTCACACCATCTAATCAGAAGACACACGAGCAGCCACCCAGTACAGTCAAAACCAGAAATGAATGTAAAGAAACTGCTTATCTGGTTGGTTCAGGCTACTTTTTCAAAGTATTTTATTGCAATACTGAACTGTTTTTCCCCTTTTGCCAAAAGAAACTACAGTACCCAGTTGCACGTACTGTAACTGTATTACAAGGTGACAGCACTGAGATCAGTTGATCTCATTTTTCTGTCCTGGTTTGTAACATGCGTAGCTGCCGGTGAAGATTTCTCAAGAAGAAAAATAGTTTAACTTTTCTACTTAGGAAACAAGTTTGTGTACTGAAGAAGCCTCAGTTTTGCTGTAATATCAATATCAGATTTCCAAGTGTTTTTGAAATCTTTAACAGAGGTACCATTGTAGCTTCTGCAAATGCTTACAATAATCTTTCTGGAGTTAAATAAATGTCTTAATCTTATTCTGAGGAGGAACAGCATTGCACCTACTGGAGTTTTTGCAGGTTTAGTTCTTAAAATCAAAATGTTCGATCATTTAATAATGAAAACTTCCAGGTCAACATGCAGAGCCCTTTATAATTCTTTGTGCAGGACAGTATCCAAAATGGCTGTATATCCTGTCCAACAGTGTGAGGAAGTTGCAGATTTGCAGGGTTGCTTAGTATCTCTGACAACTAAATTATCCTCAAATGGTACATCTCAGTAACCATTTAAGTGTGGCTTTTTTAATTACACCACCAGAATAAGGACTGGCCATGCAAATTCTTCATTGGATGGAGTTTCTTCCAGTCAAGTACATAATATAACCTAGCAGGACTTCCAAATGCAGAAAGGAATTAGTGATAATGCTGGTGATTCTAGAAATTAGCTATAAGAATTTCAGTTGTTAAGACTTTTAAATTACCACCTGAAAGGATACAAGAGTGCTGTTTTCTTGCTGCCTACTTTTGCTGGAACAATGCTGTTCCTATGCTTAATTTAACGCTTAGTAAACAGCTCCTGAAGAGAGGTCACACCGTTGTCACCTCTGGAGACTCCCAGTACCTGACTGGACAAGGACTTAAGCAGCCTTGTCAGAATGTCACACGGAGCCAGCCTGGAGCAGGACACTGGACTAGAGAGCTCCCAAGCTTCCTTCCTACCTGAATGACTCTACTACGGTTAAAAGACGTAACAAAACAAACAAAAGGCACTACTACTAAAAAAAAAAGCCTGTAATATAGACAGGTATGATCACATACACTTTAAAAGAAAAATAAGGTGACACCAGTGTTTGAAAACAAAAACTGAGCTTGTTTAATATCAAACAAATTAAAGCTGGGAAGTCTTTGCAGCAGGTGTCACAACTGTCATCTTCTTCTTCATGATGAATATTCAGCCACCTCTGTTGAGAGAACAAAGTGATCAGTTTCAACTAATCAACTGATCCCACCTGAAGTCTAATTTATCCTCCCACCACTGCATTGCTAGGACAACCTTTACTACCATTGCAGCTTATCTCCTATTTTCAAACATTTCTCCTTGCCTACAGGACCACTCTTGCAGGTATAAGCAAGCCACACATCATGGTCGCAGAAGAGGTTCAATACTATAAGATCCAAGTAAAGTAAATGTTCTACGGTCAAACACACACTGAGGGAGTGGAAACGAAAGTATCTGAAGTCCGGTTGTGAAGCAGAATACACAGAAAAAAACTTAAGATCTATGGATCTAATATTTTGCAGCATGCTAAATTAGCTACCTAGTTGCTGATTAAGTTCTTTGAATTAAGTAACTCTTGTCCTATTACACTAACATGTGAAATGCAGACACTAAAGCAACAAGGATCCTGTAGAGCTCACTGACATCCTCTGTTTAAAAACGGACAGGTAAAAATTTAGTGAAATTGAAGGTCATATTTACTTACACAATTATATTGTTGATTGGGATATGGATCAATTTGACAAAGAAACCAATAAATCCCATTATTGCAAAGCCTATTGCTGTTGCCATGGCAATCTTCTGGAACTCTGCGAAAACAACAAAAAAATAATTTGTCTAGGAAGCCTCACGTATTGGCATACAGATGTGCAGTGCAGTGACCACAGGAGAGATACCCCTGTAGAGAACAATGTTAACACAGGAAATAGTTCTGGAAATAGTCACTGCAGTGACCCTGAGAAACGAATCCTCTTTTCAGAAAGGGGATGATAATTTTAAGACAGATGATAATTTTAAGAGAGAAGGCGCTGCTTCCCACAAAGAACGGCCAATCACAATTTTTTTAAACAGCAAAATCAGAAATATCCACAGTCCATGACAATTCATGGAACATTTATTTCATTATCTCTCCTTTACAACTCTGCAAGCCCTGAAAATAGTCCCCCAACAGAGCATCAAAAATATAAAAGCTCCATTTATGTCTGCCACAGCAGGACAGCACCTTAAGTCCCCACAAAAATTGAGTACTTGTGATATTTTCAATTATTTTAAGACAGCAACCATGAAGTGGACTACGAAGGTCAACAAACCTGCCAGTCTGACAACGAATGAAGTTCCTTACTGATCTCAAAAGATGCCAGTAAACTCAGAGTCATAGCATTGTTTGTTCTTAGCACATGAATAAAGCACTGTACGTATTACCATTAAGGATTACCAGTTGCATTCTGGTCACAGTTATAGCTTCTCTCTAGTGCCTTTGAGAATGTCCAAAACCTCCTCTTCTATACTGCCAGCAACTAAATTCTTCCCATCCCAATCAGGCAGTGACTGACAACTGTGGAGCACTGAATGGGCACTGCAAAAAGCAATTCTGGCTCCATTCAAGTCTGCTAAAATAAAGTCTTTCCTCCAAGGTCACGTAACAAGCAGTTTCCACTAGAACTTCCCCCGAGGTGACAGCAATCAGTCAAATCTGACTGCTGCATTTGTAACTTCAAAGGGCACATAATTTCTTTTCAGATCAGTTTACTTAATAAATGAAAAGTGTTGCTTGCCTGTCTCAAAATGGCAAATTTCAACTTCTCGGCCTTTTTTCATAATGTGAGTTTTACTTCCACTCACACACCAGTGTGTATGTACCAGAAAAGAACACATCCAAGTTTATTACAGCCAGAACCATAAATCCATAATTCAGGCAACTGCTCAAGTTTAAATCTCATAATGGCAGATGAGAAACATTCACACGGGATGAATCAACAGAAGTGACATATACAAAGACACGTGGTAAGATATAAGATGAAATAAAGATTGTGTTCTGGTTTATTGTGTGCTTTACCTTTCCTGTCAGGCTTGGTGCATCTTTTAACAAGTCGTATGGAGTCCTTCACAAACTGACGGCTGGGTTCCACAAATTGCATTACCTGATCCATGATTACCTGCAAAGATGGATGCATTTAGCATTGATCGTTCCACATACACATACCGCAAAACAGAATTTTTTTAACTGCAGAAGTAGCAGCTACCTACAAAATTTGTGAAGACTTACGATAACTTAAAATTTCATATTCCAACCTAAGTGGACTTTCAAAGGTACTTCCACTTTGCAGGAAATGAGGGGACTGCATCAGTAAATAAACATGAGGGCCTACTTCTGACTGCAAAAAAGAAAGGGAAAAACTGACAGAAAACCACAGCTCCATCAGAGTTTGCTCTCAGTTTATGTCCTATGCCACGTTTCAGAAAACACTACTGAACGATTCTCCGTCCCTGGAGGTATTTAAGAAGAGACTGGATGTGGCACTTAGTGCCACAGTCTAGTAACTGTGGTGGTAGTGGATCAAGGGTTGGACTTGATGATCTCAGAGGTCCTTTCCGACCCATCTGATTCTATAAGGGGTCTGCACAGGCAGAAGTTCAGGTGTTTCAAGAAGCGCCCCCAGCCCAAAGCAGCACCGGGGGGACGCTGTGGCCGCGTCTCGTTCTCACAGCAAACAAGTGCCAGCACTGCCACCCCCCCCCAACCCACGCAGGACCCCAGCCTGGGGGGATCCGCTGCCATTAACCCGCACGGACCACTCGATACCCCGGTAAGATGCCGGACTCTCCCGCGTCTCCCTTCCCCACCACCCCCCTCCGGCAGCGACAAGAGGCCGGCCCTGCCCGCCGCAGCTCCCCCGCCACCGCCGGCCTGGGCCCCCGCGCCCTCTGGGGGCTCAGTAGGCCTGATGCCCAACCCCCGGGCGGGGGGACCCCCGCGATCCCCCCAGGATCCCCCCAGGATCCCCCCTGGATCCCCCCTGGATGCCCCCGGCCCCCACCGCCCTCACGGCCCTCACCGCCGCCGCAGGGACACGTCGCACAGAGAGCGGCGGGGGCGGGGCTGTGACGTCACCGCGCCGCGCGCGAGCGCGGCCCCGCCCCTTCCCGCCGGCGGGGGCGGCTCCTGAGGGGCAAAAAGGAGGGTTGTGAGGGGGTGAGGGTGGTGTTGTGTTTTGGTGGGGTTCTTTCGGGGTTTTTTTCGTTGTTTTGGGTTTTTTTTTTCTTCCGGTTTCCGTGACTCGTCTGAGTCACACTTGCTTTCCGTGCGGCTGTGGCCTTAGGATCCATCGTAGCCGGAAATAAAGGGAAGAAAGTACCGATGTTGTTCTCCCCGGCAGCAAGTGCCAGGAGGGAGGACGGAGTCTTAATCTGCACCAGGGAACAGTCTAGGTTGGGCATTAGGGGGGATTTTTTTTCCACAGAAAGAGCGGTTAGACACTGGAATGGGCTGCCCAGGGAGGTGTTTAAGGAAAGGCTGGACGTGGCACTCCGTGCCATGGGCTGGCTGACATGGATGCATTCCGTCATAGGTTGGACTCGATGGTCTCAGAAGCATCTTCCGACCTAATTAATTCTGTGGATGTGCCTGTAACAAGTGCTGTGCCATGAAGGCATGGCAAAAAAAAAAAAAAAAAAAAGAAAAAAGAAAAATAAAACCAAAACACACACACACAAAAAAACAAACACTAACAAAAAAAAATGCAACAAACGAACCCCCAAAAAACAAACAAACAAAAACCCGTTAAAAACTTGTTCAGGCTGTGATTACCCATGAGTCAGAGGTCTGCTGGTTTGTAGGAGTGCTGAAGCCACTGCGAACTACAGGAGTTCATCACCTTGGAAAAAGAAGTCGTGGTTGCTTTTGTTTGTTTGTTTGTTTGTTTGTTTGTTTTTGTGCAGAGAAGTGTGCAGCTCTCAAAGGTGGGAAAGCTTTGTACATTTCAGTGCCATAAGGTAGTGTAGAACACTTCCTTGCATGAGGGTGAAAAGAGGCTGTCACTGCCTGAAGTAAGCCCTTCCTTGCCGGTTTTTGAAAGGAAAACTTCATCTCGTAACAGGTAAAGGAAGACGAAAAATAGCATGGATTTATTTTTTTTAAGCCTTGTTTCGCTTTTGATGCTATTGATTTTGGTTTAGAACTCTGTTCCTAGTTGGCTGCCACCTCTGAGTTTGTATTGAGTATCCAAAGCTTATTAACTATTTAGTCAGACTGTGGCGCTTTGGCAGCCAGATAAGGGTCTCAGCTTTACTGGTCTGAACTCCCTATTGCATATAAATGTACACAAAATATTTTCTGGGCTTAACCTTTTGCTGATAGTTTTTATTACAGATAAAGTACCATCGCATCACAGCAGGGAGCTGTTGGTTGTTCCATGGATTTTTTGGCAGCTGCCTTCTTTTTCTCTGTGCACAGGGAGGTCCCTCAGTATTACTGATCTCCTTCAGAGATGAACTCTCTACTTGGCTTTGGAGGGTTATTGGCTTGAGGTCCTCTACAAGTTTTCTCCAAAAGTCTGCCTTTGGATCGAATTTTGCTTTGAATGAGGTTTCATGCAGCACTATTCCTCAGATGGGACCATAATTTTAGTGGCCAAATTCTGTTGGACCTTTTCCGTTGGAACACCAGCACTGAAAGATTAGTCAGTTAGGCCTCCCACAGCAAATACTTGTGTAATTTGTCTCTTGCTCTCGAGACCAGTTTGCAGTCTGCAAGGATGGGCAGTCACCCGTCAGAGAGAGGAAGATCCCTAAGGAAAGCAGCTGGGGGACTGGTAGCCACAGTGCACAGTGTGCAGTGGGGCAGAGTAGGTTGCAACTATGTTACTGTTCTGTATATATTTACCAAGAGTCGTCTGCATTTATAGAAGATATGAAAAGGTTTACATCTCCCAGGCATGTGTATTTTCTTTTCATTGAAAGCTAGACTGTTACTGGGGTGTTTTGGTTTCTACTTCTATACGGTTCTTGCAAGGTTGAGGAAGAAAGTGGTGTGCTTGCACATGTAAATTTTCATGGCAGTTTTGCAAGTCTGCGTTTACAGCAATATCTAAGCAGTACATAACCATTCCCTCAACTGAAAAAAAAAGAGAGACATTGTAATCCTGTATAATATTGGGTCAATGCTGATTTGCTTCTGAATATTGCATAAACTGGAGCCACACCGGGGGGCTTTTCATCTTGTGTGTGCTCCGAGGATGAGAGAGTTTTTTTGATGATAGTTTTATTTTGCATATTTACACATTTTGCTTTCTAGTTTGTTGTTCCTTTGGAGGACATGAAAGATAAATATCTGCTTTTAACTATGGGCACATTAGACTGTTGTATGATATCCATCCCCCTGTGTCTGGACACTTAACACAAAAAGAGTGAGATCAACCTCGTCTTCAGCCTGTCCTGTTCCCTGCTGCCTGCCTGCCACAGCACAGATCCCACTGCAGCCTGTGGGGCATGGTGGGGTGGCAGGAGCCAGAGAGCTGACAGCAGCTGCAGCAAACATGGTTTGTGGGTCAACTGGAGAGGAGAAAAGGCACAGTTTTCAGCAGGAGAGGAAGCTCAGCCTGTGCATAATAAGTACACATGCAATCATCGAGTGGTATGGGTAGAACAGAGAAGTAGCTCTGTTTGAATGGGTCTCCAAGCTTCCCTGTTTGCCTGTGGATGGAAACCCCATTTTCCCTACCCTGACTATGCTCCAACCCCAGGCAAAGAGGAAGAGCAAAGCGTCTGCTCCTGCTCAGGCTGCCATGAGGCTGGCACTGCCTGGCCTCAGCAGTGCAGGGGCAGTGCTCCTCTCTCTGCAAACCGGAGCAGAGAGACCAGGCAGTCTGGATTTTCTGTTTTAAGGATTATTCCCTGTGTCTTAGAAGAAAGTAATTGTAGTGGTCCTGACGAGTTTCCCGTGCTTGCACAAAAAGGGATAGATTTTGGATATGAGTTCTTACTGAGCTTGTCTCCTTTGCATCCCAACCCATCCCATGATGGACAGCAGGAACTGAGCTGCTCCCCTGCAGGAAGAGCCAGAGAGGTGAGTGGGTGGGCAGGAGACACAGCCAATTCTGTGCCCAGGATCTCGAAATGCCTGCCTTGGGGTAGGCCATGAGGCGTTTGAACTGCAGAAGGCCAGGCAAAAGGCCTGCTTCCTCCCAGCAGAGTTTTTGGGAGGGATGGACTGTTTGAGCAAGAAGAGCCTTTGGGGACAGAATCTGACTTGCCTTCACGAACTGGAGAGGGAAATGTTTATCCTGAGAGACACCAAAAGCAAAGAAAAAGACTAAGAAAACTAGGAAGGTGGCCACTTGTAGACTTTCATATGCAAGGCAGATAGGCCTCTGCAGAGAGTGGGCATCTGAGTGTGCTCTGGGTGACAAAACAGGTAGCTGAGAACAATGACACAGCAGCAGAGATTTCCAGCACAAACAAGGGAGCAATGCCAGGAAGGAAGAGAGAGGAGAAAGCAAAGTGGTGGTGAGGGAAAGGTGCTAGGGAACCTCCTTGCTGAACAGTGCTTCAAGTAGATGTCTTAGCAGATTTTCAAAAGCAGCAGCATAGTAGCCCTATTGACTGAAGTCATGCTAATGCTCCATTGCCTGACAGTCTGTGTTGTTGGACAGCTAAATAACTATAAAAATCTGTCTTTAGAAATTGTTAAGATATATGGGACCTTTTATTTCTTTATTCTACATTATCATAAGAGTGTTTGATAAATTTATAACTTGAAGAACCATTGGGCTATCTATGTGCTTCTGGCATTTAAAAATTATTTTTAGCTCTTCATTCTCCTAAATGACCCAGGCTCTGTTTGGACTTGATAAGCACATCTGCGTGATTTACAATGAGAAGAAAGATTATTTCCCTCTTCAGTAGCCGTACAGATGCAGGGGAAGAACATAAATGAGGAATTAATGTTAGGAAGGAAATGGTAGCTCAGATTTGGGGTTCAGAAGGAAATGATGAAGTGCTTGTGGTCCGTGTCTTTGGGTTAGCCCCATTAATTATAGAAATACCACTACAGCAGGCTTTAATGCCGTGGTTGTCAAAGTCGCTAGTCAGAAGCAGTCAACAAACCCCATCCTTTGATTTGTGCTGCTTATTATTCAGTGGAGATGAAATATGGGGATGAGGGAGGAGTGCTGTTAAAATAGATTTTTACCAGTGTTAGATTTATTGTACATATTTTTAAAGATGACCTTTTAAAAAAAGGCTGTGTTCAATTTTATTTGAAAGAGAGCAGGGGAGATTTGTGTCTGTGTGATGATAGATGCAAAATGAGAGAAACAAGGGCAGTAGACTAAAATGGCATCACTAAATGATACTTCAGACTAGAAAAGGTCTGAAGATAA